CATATATAATATTACATATATAAAATAATAAAAAACATTCAGGTAGAATAAAAAAATCAGCTCAAAAGTGGTGAAAGTATATTATACACATTTTATAGATATTTAAATGTAATTTAGATTCAATTTCAAGTAAATTCATGGAAAGGAGGCTTATAAAACCAAATATGCATTAAAATAAAATTATATTAATTTTAAATATTACAAAATATTATATATACAAGGTAGTCCAATTAAATCGATCATCTTGAATATTTCACTTATTTTTAATGATATAAAAGAATGCTTCAAATGAAAATGGAACAGTTTCGAGAGGGACACATTTTGGTCACGTTGTTTTTTTCTAGGTGGAGGCGCCAAAAAGATATGAAGATCACTTCCACTTTTTTAAATGGAATTATGTGATTTTTTTTTAGATAATATGATTCCTCTAATTATTCTGCATATAAAAATATTAGGTAGAGATATTAAAAAACCAATAGTTTACGGGACATTTTACACTTTATTCCGACACATTTTGACATAAAACATAAAATATCTTGTAAACTATTAATTTTTTGGCAACTGTACCCTAACACTTTTATCCATAGAATAATAAAATGAATCAATTGGTGTGCAAAAAAACACACAATTGTTAAGAAAAATTATGAAATTTACAACGTGCAACTACGTATTTTTTTTAAATAGCAACTGTGCGTTTTCTCCATACCAATTGACACACCTGTATATATGTATATTAAAATTGGTATGTTAAAATTATATCAGTTTAGTTAATTTAGTATACCTATATTCATTAAATATTTATAAATATGTTCCTTTTATGTGTTTCTAATTAAAAAATTAATTTTTCTTATACAATCGCAATAAAACCCAAAAAAAATCCCTGAGTGTTTTTGAGGTGGATAAAATAATGCCAACTCTGGTATATACAATATAGGTACATATATATGACAGTATATTAAAAGTACAATCACAATGCTACCTACACCGACATTTTCTATCCTGGCTTGTGCGTCCTGCCACATTGCTGCTACTGTACTATTCCTGATAGCTTTTCCATCGTTCTCGTCTGCCATGTATCGAACCATTATCATCCAGACATGAAGCTCTGTCACCAGAAACCAAGCGAAGAACGTATCTGGCATGTTAAAATCTGCAAAGAACGTGTTTAAAATGTATGTAAGAGTTAGAATTACAATACACTTATAACAGAGAACTTACGTTTAAAGAAGAAAGGATAATCCACTTGACGAATTACACGTTCATATACCTTATAACCCATTTCCACATTTCTCTGTAATAATATTCAATTAACATTACCATCAATAACTTTGAATATATGGATATAAAGCCACAGAGTGCTTTTACAGATTGTAAAGATTCATAACAAGCTTTACAAATGCTCTCGTTTCACCATTCAAGGTTGAATGGTAATGAAAAATTTTTAATTACATATTTCTGGACGTCTAGAATACCGGTTTTTTTCAGTATTCTCGCAAAAAATCCTATCTTTGGTTGTAAAGTTTTCACTGCAGACGTACGGTGTTCGGATATTGTGTGGGTATTCCTAGGCATCTGTGTTTGTGTCTTTGCCGATAATAGCCTCATGGTACCAAGATCCCTATGTATCTGTGTTACTCTCTGGTTCAGTAATAATGCGTTCTGAAACAAGTGCTTGTTAATGGAATCGCGTCATGCATGCAGCTCCAAGGGAATAGTCTATTTCTATCATTGGTCTTGGTCAAATCAGCTCCTGGTCTATGTCTATTTCTATCATTGTAAATTGACTTTAATCTCTAATACTTAAAAATTGATGAATACAGTGCAATGAGCCAGGCATAATGTCATTTCAGTATTTATTCAACGTACTAATAATAAAATTACAATCCATTAAGATTGTATCAAACATTTCAGTTTACATTAAACCATCCTCAGTGGGGTAAAACTTCTAATAATGTATATAAGTCGTCAAGTCGATGCTTCAATAACAGTTATAAACTATTAACAGAAACTGTTGGTTTAATACATTTTTTCTTTTCCTTCTAAGTTGTAAGAATTAGAAAAAGATAACGAGTAAGTTAAATCGAGATTCAAATTAATCTACATTGTACATTGAATAAACATAAAATAAAGGTCTGATAGCAATCGTGTAACTTTCTCCCTAAGGCGGAAAAGGGGTGAAAAACTTTTTATATGCATAAAATTGTTCCCTTTTCCAGTTTTTGCTCTAGAGAAAAGTTACATGATCGCTACTCGTATGATGGCAGACGATGGGTACCTTCGACGAGGGAAACAACCGGACGCATCGTGCGACGGACATGTCGCCAGAAATAAATCTTCTTACGCGTGCTCATGCGTCTTCGTAGTTCGTCGGCACTCGGCACGTGACGTGCAAACGAACGGCGACAACGACATATACTCATGCAATCATGCACAGACTACAAACTAACGAAATCGAACGTAAGGCTGTCAATGGGTGCGTTCAGCAGAACGTTCGTTTTGCAACTGTTGGAAGTTTCCTTCGCGCTGATTGGATCATACTTTTAGATCTAGAAGAATGGTCCTATCTCAGCAGACAATGGCTGCGTTCAGCAGAACGTTTGTTTTGCAACTGTTGGAAGTTTCCTTCGCGCTGATTGGATCATACTTTTAGATCTAGAAGAATGGTCCTATCTCAGCAGACAATCATAAAACGGTTGCAAAACTGTTGAGTCTGCTGAACGCAGCCATTAGACCATGCATTACATGCGTCCGTTTTTTATCGTACTACGAATTTTTCAAGCGTGTCAATTGGCTGCAAGACAGAGAGGATCTCGGACCTCTTTGTCCTATAGCCAATCGACAGGCTTGAATAATTTGTCGTACGACAAAAACGGACGCATGTAATATTGGCCTGATGCTGGCTGCAGATCAATGCAGATGTTCGTGCGACACGCGATATCCAATGAGCGCGTAGCTTTAGAACGAGAACATCGGTAAAGCTGCACGCTCATTTGCGCTGTTGTCTGCAGCTAGCATAAAGCTCCATATATCAAAAGGTTTGTTCGCGTCGCATGTTCCAACATATTCCAACATGCTCCTACCATAGCTCCTACCCCGGATCTACGATAGAGTTTTAAGCAGTTTTAAGCCTTAAGCCATAAGAAATGGACGAATCACAGTCGATTATTCTCCTCGAATTCGACTGTAATTGGTCGATTTCTTACGGCTTAAGGCTTAAAACACCTATTGTAGATCCGGACCTACCAGAGAGAAGCCTGAGAGCGGCCACGCCCTTTGTTTGTTCAACGAGCGCCGACAGATTGATTGTTCGTCTTTGTCTATCTAACGGACCGAAAATCGTGGATATAGCGAAGAATACAATCAAAAAATCGTGGACATTACCGACGGGATCGTGGACATTGGCTACGTAGTCAATGTCCACGTTTTGTGGACATAGAGGAGCTTCGAAATAAGGTTGCAGCTAAATCCCGGGCGTGGCCGCTCTCAGGCTTCTCTCTGATGTAATAAGTATAAGGAATGAATGAAAGATGTCACTATTATCGAATTTGGAATTTAAAAAAGTCTACTATCGACCTCGATCAAGTTCGGCCGTCGGGAATGCTGGAGTGACCAAATTATTCCATTACAGAGTCGTATAAAAATCTTCGAATTGACTGAACGGAATAAAAAACCTTTTACATGATTAAGGTAGACGCAAAATTAGGAGGTGCAGTGGACCTTGTATTAAAATCGGAAGAATGTTAAAAAATTACATTTTTTAACTTTTTTCATTAGCATGTATCATGAACATCTCTCGTCATATTTATTTTAATAATTGATTAATCAATATAATTAATTTGTTAGTATCGAATCAGCTTTTTAAGGCCCTTTCCCAGTTCCACGACTCACGGTTAACTCTTAAGAAATTAGAATTTCCAATTCTAGAATTGGAAAGAGATGAGAAACAAGTTGAACCTCGGTTGGGAGTTAACCTTGAATCGTGGAACTGGGCCTTAGACGCTTATTTGCAGCAATGATATTAAATTGCTTATTAATTTAATATCATTGCTGCAAATTGATATTACTACTCCGTCAGCTTCGGTTTACGAAACTGTGTTTCGACACCGACAGATAATCGCAGTTAGCTTGAACAGGAAATTTTATAAATTTACAAGAAATACAAGAAATATTATTGGGCACGAAGATCCGCTTCGAATACGGCGTTCTTCACTCGTATGCGTTTAACATTATTGCATCCATCATATATTTTATTATAATATTATTGTACCGTCTGGTTTTTTTACAGTCAAATGCAGTCCGCAGTAAGATGAGCAATAAAATGTTTTTATAATAGTGGATCCAAATACGGTGAACGTTAAAGTTCACTTATCGCTATCCTTTTCTTAATTAGTTGTTAAGAAGAAGATAACCTGACTTTAGCGTTCACCGTATCTGGATAAACGGTATTGCAAAAACTCGATTCCTAATATCATTCTCGACTGGTGTATCGAGTCGCTGCCGCGATTCGATAGTTAAAAAATTTCAAATTTTCGCGCAACGCGTGATTCGGGGCCTACATCTGGACGAGGCGCGCACGCGCGCAGGACGGGCTGCACCCGTTCCCCTTTCAACGCATGTATTTCCGGAGAAGAGAGAATCCCGGGAGGAAGGTAAAAAGCCAGAATCCTCGTTATCGCCGCGCGCAATTATGACGTGACCGCGCTCACCGAGCGATTACGATCTGCCCGTCGCGCCGGCAACGCGCACAACGGCGCGGTGAAGTCGCCTTTCGCGAAGTCTCTCGCAAAGTCACCTCGCAAGCGAAATGCGAGCGAAACGTGCGAGAAATGGCGCGCCGCGCGCCCGTAGCGTCGCCGTCGCGGTCCAGTGGTCCTACCGCGCTGATGCGCACTGCGCAGACGGCCCGCGATTGGTCGCGTCGCTCCTCGCTCGTCCGAACCGAACTCGAACCGCCTCAACCAGCCTCAACCGCCCGCTCTCTCTGGCTCTCGCGCAGCGGTGTGACACGGTGTGACGGCAGATGCGCGGCAAACGGCGCCGAGTGAGCAGCTTCTTCTCTCGCGATTGTTCCGGTAAAACGGTGCCCCCGGTGCGACGCTGTTACGAATGACGTGCGGCGGAGACGCGGCCGTGGATCCCTGACGAGCGCGACGAGCCGTCGTCGTCGTCGGAGTCGGAGCGCTGGTGCTTCTATCAGTTCTATCTCGCCCTCGGCGAGACAGTTTAACTGTGTGCTCCAGCAGGGAGAGAAAGAGAGGGGAGGAGAAGAAGCGCGACCGGGTGCGACCTTGCCCTCGACCAGCTGCCGGAGAGTCCAGCATCACGAACGTAAGTCTGAAAGATGCGACAGATAGATAGATATCTTTATTTAGATGCGAGAGGAGAAAGAGGGAGACGGATGGCGAGGGAGGCAGGAGCATCCAAAAAAGGGTCGGTCGGAAGGGGAAGGGGAAAGAGAAGGACGGTAAGCTCGAGTTTTGCCTCGGCCGCGGCGGAGCAGGCGGAGGCAGGCGGAGGCAGGCGGAGGACCGCTTGACGCGCTGCGTCGCTTCCGAGGTCAACCTAAACTTCAAATTCTCGCGATTCGTTCGCGTACTTTTGTACACCGTAAACCTTTCGAGTACATTAGACGTCCCACCGTCCCAGAGGACGTCTCGCGTCCTAAGGACGTTTCCCCAAGGACACGTTCCCTTGGGCAAAGTGTGTTGTATATGGACTCGTCGACGACGGTCCAGTGGATTACGATGTCGGTGTCGCGCATCGTCCAGCGTCGTCCAGCGTCGATTCTCATCTGGAGACGCGCGTTGCCCGCTTTGTACCTATGTACGTACAAAGCGGGGAGTCTGTAAGCCGTTCTCGCGCATCTCGACGTTCCTGTTCCGTCTTTCTCTCTCGCCCTCTTCTCTCGCGATCTCGGAAAGTCCCGATGGGTCCTATGAAATAAAAGGTGGAGAAAACCGACGAGTTACGGAACTATAATCGCACTCGTAAAACCGAAGTCGCCTGACTCCCGAGCTCGGGTAGAACACACGAGTCATAATGATATCGGAAGGACATCGTCATGACACAAATAAGGTCATGTTTGTCATTTATAAGTTTACCTAACGAATATGCGGACTTTACGATATAAAATGTCAAAAACATTACTTTTATTAAAATCTCACATCAGTCTTCTGGATAGCTTCTTATCGTTAGTCTCCTACCGGATAGTTTTTACAAAAATACCAATGAATCGTATATATTTATTGTATGCCCTATGAAATAAAGCCTGTTACAACTCATAAATTCAATGGAAAAGTGTGTGGACGAAATCACTATCGAATAATTTTTTACAGTTTTTTGAGAATCAAAAACTGATCGAGAAGATTGAAAGCGTCTAAACGCTCGGCTCCTCCCCAAACGGTTCGCTGGAGGCCGCGAGGTGTTCCGATTCCGAGAAACGGAATCTCTCGTTGCCGCGAAGGTCGCGCGAATCGGCGACACGAATAAGCGCCCTCCGTGGGGCCTCCCCCTTCGAAATTGATACTTCCGCGCAATCACGACTCCTCGAGCGAGTGCTGCTCGTACGCAATTAATGCCTCGCACCACTTGTTGCTGCTTTTACTACCTGAACTGTGTGAACAGCGGTTACGAGTGCATTTCTCCACCTGGTGACGCGCGTTGCTCATCGTCGTAATCCTTATCCGAGACTCGAAAGTTTGTTTTTTTCTCGTAAAGGAAAAAAAGGATAGAATATTGCGCAAGCACCCTGCGGCGGCGAAGCTACCCGCGCGAGAACCGATTAACAGATACGGCTTGCTTGCGTTGCGTTGTGGTGAAATAATATATCTCGCTATGTGGTGAGCGAATCGATTTTGAACGAACGTGCAGTGGCGATACGAAGGAAAAAACAACGGTATGGCTAGACTCGATTTGTTTTTGTGTAAGTTTTTGTAATAAATATTCATAAAAGTTGCGCAATGCATTTAGCACCTCAGGTGGAACACACAGAGTCATGATGATACCATAGGACGTCATCGTGACAAATAATACGAGTAAAGGTACATCATTGTGACTTCTATGTTTTAAATGCTATATATTTTCTGCAAAGATGATACAAACAATTCTATGTACCTATTTCTAAGCTGACTGAACCTCGACAAGTAACGCTCGAGATTAATCTTGCTGGTTGTCGTTAAGGATTTACACATATTTTCAAAACGATAACAAAATTATGAAAAAATTTATAGATTATTCTAAATCACGTTTAAAAATAATACAAATAAGACAAATTTGGTGACGGTTTACTATCTGAATCATAAATTATTTTAATAAGTAGTTGTATTTTTTTTAATCTGTGCTCTAATAAAGATATATGATGGAAATTTATAAAATAAATCATAAAAATCTCAATTTTTTAATATAAGTACATTATGCATTCAAGATTATTTACATAGAGTTACATTGCGATGCATAAACTAATTGTCCAGTAAACAACAAAATATTTATTTGTTCTATATCTTTGGAACTAATCAGTGAATTGCAATGAAACTTTGCGTAAATTATTTGAATATTTAAAGTACTTATAAAAAAAATGTAAATTTTTTATCATTTAAAAAAAATTGTCTTTTTTAACAAATAAAATAAATAAACTACAAAAATGTGTTATTAAACAAAAATATAATCTTATTCACACAACTTTCATGTGTGTATAGTTTATTTGAAGTGTCAGTATTAAACGTACTTCCAAATTTAATTTTCTTTGAAGGGACCGTACGTGTGATACATCCTTAAATTAGTTAAATTGCAACACGGTAGCAAGTGATTGACGCTTCCTTCTGTACGAAGTATGCGATAAGTTACCGAATACTCGAGAGCAGATTGAGAAAAATTATTACATGCGCGTCGTAAAGTTTTCGCGATAAAATGCTTTATAGAAGCGTTCACGATTGATTCACTGCAATGAGATAATTGCTTAATCTTGATGTAAGTAAGCCGCCAAGGATGCGGTTATTCCAATCGACGCTCACAGCGCTCTTGGAATCATTTCATCCTTGTTTGCAAATGTTGAACAAGAACAAATGATGCTCGCAAGAGTCGTGAGCGTCAAACAAACACCATCTATAGTAGACATCCGTTATCCGCGTATCTCCGCGCGAAATTCCTTCGCGAGAGGAGATCTTGTCCGGAGAAGTTCAAAATTTGTCGATTTTATCGCATAGAATTACGTATCTGCGCGCGTCTGAAATGTCCGAATCAGTCGGAATCGACGACGCCGACTATACGCATCCCCACCGTCGACGGTTGCGACCAGTTGCGACCAGTTGCGACTGTCGCGAGAGCCAGGCAAGGTGGATGGAAGTGGATCTGCCCATGCGGATCTGCCCACTGTGCATTCGCGGCTTCTCGTTTCGTAAGTTGAACCTCTGTCGAAATGTAAACGTCGCGGGGCGCTTCGTCGCGTCGGCTTATTAGTGGATGAGTAACTACGTCATGTGACGTAATCGTACAGAATATAATTAAATTATGGCGCGGCCATAACTTCGTCTCTCGCTATGTACACTGTAAAAAAAATCAAGAAATTCAACTCGAATTGACGTAAACCAGCTCAATCTCAGAGTTAAATATGGCGAACTAACTGTCAGGTTGCGTCAACAAAAATTTTAATTTCCTTTAATATCTTCCTTGTTAAATAAACATTGAATTTATTTCTATAAAATATTTGTAAAATTGACTAAGTTATTATTGATGGTAAATGAACATAATTGTATTGTCAATAAAAATACTTTATGTGAGCACGATGAAATAAATCTGCAATAGAACAGACTGATTTTAATATTTGATTGAACTGTTCTACAAAGTAACGAGAACTCAGTAAATTGTTGATAGTAACAATTTTGAGGTAATTTCTACTTCGTTTTCGAGTGAAGTAGATTAAATAATTTATTTAATAGGACAATTCATTAAATTTATTTGATCTCGTTACTTTGTAAAATAATTTAATTAATCATTAAAACTTTCTACTATACTCTGAAAAACATGTTTATCGCCATGTGACAAGAAGTATATGAAAATGGTTAATGGTTTAACCATTTGACTATCCTCGCTTTATACAGGTAGATGTCGAATCTCTGTTACCAGTACACGCGCCATCTATTGATGGCTCCACAAAACGCTCTCTCGCTCTAAATCAAAGTGAAGTACCGTCAATAATTTATTGAGTTCCTACTACATTTAGGTCCTGTTACTTTTACGTTATATTCATGTTCATTTACCACTAATAATGATTTAATCAACTTTGTAAATATGCTTATGACAGTACCGCCCCATCATTGAATTACGTAAATAATTAGTTCAATATACTTTTCTCTCTAATCACCCTTGTAGTAGTTGAATGAATATCTAATATTAATACACTTAATATATATTTTAGAACGGTTAATCATATACTTTGACCAAAAAAAAATTTTTGAGTACATTTTACTACGTGAAGTTATTCATCTAATTAGTGAAGTTATTCAACTAATTAGGTTTTCATTCTTCTTGACTTGATTATACTTCGCTTAACTCAAATCGCGTAACCCTCAGATTTAGTTGTGTCCACTTTGAATATTTTTTACAGTATACAGGGTGTTTCCAAATTAAATGGCAAAACTTCGGGAGCGTGTAGAGGAGTAAAAAACTAAGAAAAAAAGTCCTATAGACATATGCTCGTTTTTGCTCCGTTTCAGAGAAATCGAAAAAAAATGTTTACATTTCTTGCCATATCTAGCACCGACATATTTGATTACATTTTCCACTTTCTGTTATGAATTTGTCAGTCGCTCTTTGAAAGCCTTTAACAGTAGATGAATTTTGTCTTTTGCAATATGCCGCGTACGTATTCTAATAGTGAATATGCTGATATGGTTTTTGTATACGGTTTCTGCAACGGTAATGCTTTAAAGGCGGTGCGAGAATATGCACGACGATTTCCAAACAGAAGAGTGCCAAACCGAAGAGTGTTTATGTTGACATTTAATAGATTGCGAGAGACTGGA